GCATTTTGAATTTTTTATTATTATTATTTCTTTTTATTTTAAATTGCTTCTTCGCTATAAATTAAATAATTCTATGTATCCCGCCTTTCCAACTACTCACCTATAATAGTGGCTGCGCCCAATCTCAGTTTCTGTTCTCTTTTTTTTTAAATATTTATTGCATTTTTAGTGAAATTATAAGGCGTTATTAGAGAAATAATGCAATCAATTTTAGTGACTTTTTAATGCAATTTGATTGTCATAATGTATACACGTGTATTCGTTTTTAAAACAATTTCATACACCCAGGCGTAGTCAAACGGTTTTTGTTATAAGGAACAAACGGTTGCTCGTATCCTGCAAGTGTCGGTTTCCGTGAAATTGGGGTTAGGTTAATCAAGACGGCCGCTGAATGTGTAATTAATTTATTTTACGACCTCCGACGTTTTACTAGCCCCCGGGGTACGAAAGAGAAAAGAAAAAAAAATATACCTACCTACCGAGTTCATTCATTGTCGACAAAGCCGCCCTTGTTCACTGCAGAGATCGTAAAGCACACAAGAAACACCGGTTATATTGCAGCTTAAACAATTTTTTTTTTTGCTTCCCGACCGAGTCGCTTTTTTTTTTTTTATTGCACAATAAAGAAAACTACTACAAAAATAAAAAAATAAGACAAACAATAAAAACCAAATTATTATATTCAACTCTACGGCCACACAAATTGCCGCCCGGCTCTGTTGCACTATAGTTCTAATCAATTACGTCCATATTATATTAAACTCAGCCCTCTCCCCCCTCCACGCTTCGCATTGCGTTATACGGTCGTAACGTTTTATTTTTACTTCACACACACACACACACACACACACACACACACACACACGCACACACCCGCGCACACGTACCGTATGCCGGTTACCTATACCGCCACCCGAATATGAAAATACCGCGACAACGCCGTCGTCAGTCCGGTTTAGCGGAAAAAAATAAAACGGAAATGACCCCTTCGCACACAGTATTCGGTTTTTTTTTTTTTTTTTTTTCGCTTTTTGACAGAGGGGCTATACGACCGCGCGAGTGTGCGTATACCGTATGTATATATATAGATATATATATTTATACACACACGTAATATACACACTCGATATAAATTATAATTATATTAACCGCCGGGGGATTCGACGGGCAGTCGAACACCCCAAATGTGTGTACGCGCGTGTGTTATTATTATTATTCTCTTCTTTCCCGTCCGATGTGGGGTTCGTTTTTATTCCGCTCAATCTGGTCGTCCGTGTGTGCACGTCGCACAAAAACGCACACGCGCACACACAAACACATACACACACACACACACACACGCACACACGCACATACGTACACACACACACACACACGTAGCAGGTGGCTACTGCGGACAGGTGAGCAGCACCTGCGATCCGAATTTCGCGCGGACATACGTCACGTGAGTGTACGTACTCGACGACGAACGGGGGTGGGGTGCGGGCGGAGGAGGGACCGACACCGTAATATTATTATTAAATTATAAGTCATCGTGACGGACGACGGAACGTCCCTCCAAAGGTCGCGAAATCCATAGATAATAATAATATTATAAGTATACGCGAACAGAACATCCATATCCCTATTACGCGCGGTATACGACCGCGAGCTGCTACATAAGTGATTGGTATTATTATATATAGTTACCATGACGGTTATAATATTATGCGGTTACAGACACAACGTTTTTATCGATTTGGTTTGTGATCAATTTCGTTATTATTATTTTCTTAATAAAATTTAAATGATCCAACACTGTATACCTATAATTTACGCAATTTAACGTAAATAACAAATAATAATATTATTTTCCGAATTTTCGTTATTTCGATCGGAGCCAAGCGGCCGGTAGCACATCACGTATGGTCGATACCACACCTTAATTTACGTAACCACTTTGGTAACTAGTGCGTTCTTCGATCACGCTCGTGTACATGGTATGTTTTATCCGTGTGTTCCGTTTTCTATGGCAAAACCCATCGTAATACGGGTATACAGCGTACACGATGGTCGTACAGTATACAGTTTATGTATGGATGCACAGTGTGCTGCGGTATTTACTGTTTTGATAACGCAGTGGCGTACTCTTGAGAAGGCCCGGCTGGCAGACCCGGAGAGTTTTTATTATTTTTGTTCAGAATCGTTTTTTTTTTTTGTTAGCAATGATCAATCATTGCACACACATATACATTGAATTTTCATTCTGTACCTTCCCAACTACTCACCTACAACTGCAGTAGTCCATCCATCGTGCGAAATATGTCCATTTGGTTTTTTTTTCTTCGAATCATGCCATCCAAAAGAGAATATAAAAAAATACCATAGTATTATTATTGTTAATAATAAGCGATTTAAGGAAACGAAAATACACGACGACAAACATCTATAATAATATTTATAAACTTTGGTAATAGCTCATACAAACACCCGCAACTAGCCGGGACACAATTTCCGAGCAGCGCCTTTCAATTTAATATATCTTAATTTATCACTTTCTGGAAAGTTAAGAATTAATGTCGGACTCGATTACTGGCCGACTTGACCTAACCGAGCCGTGGTATTATATTTATTATAGTGTACTCCTCACATTTCAGTTAAACGTTTTGGCGTTTCATATTATATCCTTCACCGCATCCAACTGCCCGCGTTTACATGCGATTTAGTTCATCGCACCCAATAGTTGTTTTTACCGTTCCGTACCTTTGCATTGTTTCAGTTCTGTCTGTCCGTCAAAGGACGGTTTCTAACGTCTAATCGAAACGACATGCCGACTTGAAATCCACTCCTACCGGCTACTTAAACAACAAATTTAAAAAAAAATCGTTCATTATACTGGAATAGTTAAAAAAAAGGCCCAAGTAAATTTACAGACGCAACGAAGGGATTCGCATTTACGTAAACAAATAATTACCTATGCATATATTATATTGTTTCGTAAGAATGGTAGCACTCTGTTTAGCAAATTTCTGACCACGATTAAAAATTGTTATGATTTATGTTGCATACGGCCGCTCTGAGCCACAGTTTTTTAAGGTTCGTTTGTGATACGAATTGTGATGAGTGTGATAATTTTATAAAATATTTTTTTTATTGTACTTTTTATTAATATTGATTGCACTTTAGCTCAAATTGCCGAACTCCCATAAGAACCGGTGTACATTTTTGGAGAGTGTCCATAGTGATTTTATCTATTCTATGATTATACTGGTATCCGTGATGGTGTTGTGGTTAGATTTTTATTATATTTACGCAAATAGGACATAAATTGAGATAAAATTTCCGTCAAACAAAATGTTCATATAGTAACCAATAGGTAATATATAGATAATATTTAGAGAATATCCCTCGACATATATATTTATTATTTAGTCATTGTTTTCCTTCGAAAAAATGGATTATTCTTGTCTATGATAGTAAGTATAAAATTATGCGATAAGGATAATAGTATTCAGATAAGAATCTAATTGTGACGAATAAGTTAGCGAACGGTTTTTTTTTGTTTTACTATGGGTCGGTCGAAACTTTTGCCCCCCCCCTCTCTAAAAAACCGAAATTTCGCCACTGCCTATAATAACGTATACATTGGGAGGATTTGAAGGTTCGACACCACTCCTCCGTCCCCATTGCCTTTTTATTTTTACACAGTGTACGCAATTTCATAAGTACATATTTTATAGTATGAGATTATACGGATTTAAAAAAAACTTCCTCAAAAGGTACACTTTTTCGCCATTCATCACTCATCCCCTATACAAAATATATGTGCACGCCACTAATCACTTAAATTATTATATCGGAGCGGTACGCTTTATTCGCACACAAAACTCAATTAAATTACGTTCATCGCATATTGGTCCCATTTTTATTTCCCGACAAATTCGTTTTCTATATTACCCATTGTACATGTGACATTTCGAACCATATATCATTGTTGCTGCTGGTCTTTCGTGTGTAATAGTCTTATGTTTCCCCTTCGACTCTATATCGGTATCGTTATTTTATTACATACAGTATGATCACCCTCAGCGTTACACATTTTCGGTCCAATCGTTCATATTTTATATATTACATTGCATGACGTCACATTTTGACGTTTTCACAATATATGCACTTGACTGAAACGTTATTTTTAATTAATCTTTTAATCGCCTATATACTAGCCGATTTGCCTTTTTCGTACTCAGTTTTTTTTTAAATATACACCTTTTTTCAATTCACATTCATATATATTATGCCTGGTATTAGTTTTTGATTGCAATGATTAATCGTTGCTTTCTCTGTAAAAAATAAATCACTCTAAATCATATAGGTCATTTTTTTACTTCTCGCCTAGTATATTATGTAAGTAACTGTTTGAAAATGGACCGAGAAAATAATATTGCACTTTAGATTCTGAGCGAAACGAGGATTATATTAGTATTATTATAATGCGTAGTTTTCGCGTCTGTATAAACTTTATAGGAACTTTGATTTAACATTTTATATACTATTGGTGCATTTAAGATTTTGTAACTTTGTTAATTTTTGTTGTATAGTTTTCCTAATAAATGTAACCCATTTGTTATACTGGCAATTTTCGGTAAAATTTTCGTTGATTTTCAGGTTACTTTGGCGACAATGGGAACAATACGACCGATAAATAATAATACTCCGCTCAGAATTGTTTTTTCTAAGCGACGGTTTATCGTTGCGTACGGGAATAAATTAAATTATAGTTACTCTATGTAATATAACATTCTGCCTTTCAACTTCCTTCCAAAAAATCGGCATTATCGATTTTGTTTATCCCCCCCTCCTCCAAGTATAATATAATCAACAAACAGCGGTATACAAATAACTCGAAATCGTTTGAATTATTATTTCGTATTTTTATTGTTTTTATTTTCTTTTTGTTTCGTCTACAGCTAAAAAGGATACAATACATTATATATTATAATATTATTATATAGTTAACTTATATACTATGTTACAACGTCTATTTTTACAAACCTACATAACTGTACAATAATAATAATATATTACCTACAATTACATTATAATAATAATAATAATAATAATAATAATAATAGTCTAAATGAGAAAAAAAAAAAATACAATTCCGAGTCCGGATTAACAAATTGTCGAATTAATAAACGTTATTATCATTCGCGTACGCGGAGAAAGGGTAAGCGGGTATAGAATACCGTAGTCGCAATAGCGTCGATTATCACCGAACGCCGACGACGATGATAATAATAATAATAATAATAATAATAATAATAATAATAATATAATATACATACATATAATACGAGTATTATATAGGTAACTATTATACTAACACGTCGTATATGTATAGGTATTATGGGTATCTATATATATTGTACACCTTTGTATATTATCACTTTAAGGTGACGTGAGCAACGCCTTACTAAATCATAATAACAGTCGTACAACAGCTAGTTGCGCCGCTGTATCATAGGTACGTAGGTATTATATGTTTTTATAAATTTATAATTTTTTTTNATATAATATAATATTGTGATAACGAAAAAAAAAAAAAAAAAACATAAAAAAATACCCGAAATATATTATCGCGTTGTTATTGCGTTATGCGCGCGAGACACAACAGCAACAGTAATAATAATAATAATAATATTGTAAATGTCAAAATATTTCGGTACAGTTAATAACGTTTTCTGATACATATAAAGTGTTTGCTCGGCGGGGTGCGCGCCCCGAGAAAGAAACTGCCGAGTCACGTTAGCGCTCGTTTTGACAAATGATTTCAACAGTTTCTCCGCGTTACGGCCCGGAATTACGGCGGGGAGGTTGCAAGGGTGTAAGGGGTGGCGGCGGAGTTGGCGGAGAGGGGCGAATAAGGCGCCGTCGCGCCAAAAGTCTATTAATATTGTTATTTTAATTTTAATTTTTGTATTTTTTTTTTTTTTTTTTTTCGTTTTTTATTTTTTTGCCAAATTGGACATCGGATCTTTCGACGCGGGTTAACACGAATGCGCGGGAAACGCGCGTGTATTATAACGGCGATTGACGACACAATTAGGTAGACAATAAAAACATTTCGTCGAGCTACGGATTTACATTTTAATACGGTTACGTATCGTACAATATATATTACGCGTGTAAAAAAAACGACTGTAATAAACGCGGTCAAAATAATTAATTAACAGAAACAAAAAAAAAAAAAAAAAAAAAAAAAAAAAACAAAAACAACCGTCATTACGGTAAACGATTGTACAATATAATATACAGTCTATTTCGTTAAAAATTATGTAAAACATGGTATTGCACGTTTCCATTCTCCCTTTGTATCATACGCCTATATCCGCAGACTGCGTTGCACAATAAATGACTATAGTCGTACGCATTGTGTGTTGTTTACGTGTATAGAGAAGATCACAGTGTCGATGCAAATTTTACGGATTACAATCAGTTTGTATTTACAGAAAAAAAACAAAACAAAACAAAACAAATAAATATACAGATAATATTCTGTAATATTCTGCAATATTACGTCGACAGAATTTTTATGTACAGTTTTGATGTCGCCGGTAATACGGTGATGCATGCGTGTATACAGCGACGAGTATTTACAACACACGAAACGATTTTCGCGCCAGTCCAGCTGTACGAGACGACCGTTTTATTATTATTTTAATTTTTTTTTTTTTTTAAATTGTATTAATATTATTATCATTATTATTATTGTTATTATTGTATTACGTTTGTCGGTAACACTGTCGGCTATTATACTACGCGTAGGTGACGGCCTTGCACCGTTACCGTAGGGTACCAAAACGGTTAAAAACGTATTGTAGCGTGTGTTATTTGTGGCATTGTACAATATTGCGGTATCAATTGAGACGTGTGCTCGGTTTTTTTTTTTTATCGATTTTACAATAGCTCGCGTTATTTTCTTTCTCGCCTCCCTCCCCCCTCCCGGGAAATTTAACAGAATAAACTTATTATTATACACGTATAGGTATGGGATAATAACATCGTTTCGACGTAAGCGTAACGAAATTTATCGGCCGCGGTGTACACCGACAAATCACGCGGAAAAAAAAAAAAAAATGATGTATTACTACGATGCATATTGCGCGTGTATAGTGTAATAATATTTCGTATACCCGGATTACTTTTCATACGAAAATTGAAATATTATATAATTCCGCTTTTTATACCCGAGCCGCGGTGGTAGACATATTTTAGTTTTTAATATCGTATTATGTATTATTATATTATGCTGTACGTGCGAGAAATCCCGTACAAAGAGCTTGCGGGCGTTTGTTTTTACATGAATAATAAAAATACAATATACGGACGGGAGGCCGTCAAAATCCGGAAAAAGCGAAACCGCGAGACGACAAAAACTCCGACGGCACATTTTCGCGAGAACGGCAAAACCTCGAGAAGGAATTCCGGCGAAATTCCCACGGAAATTCACTGACTGACCGACATTTTGACGGTTCGATCGTTCTGTCGGAATTATTTGTTCGAGATTTTGCCGCGCATCCCGTTCGGATTTACTAAATGCATGTTCGAAATGATGATTACGGAAACGTATATACATACAAATACGATCGATCTATACACGATTGCACTATTTTTATCAAAAAAAATGTACCAGGGGGCATTACGAAACTACGATAAATTATAGGCACTCGAACGGGTCTATACCGAATTCTAACCACTTGGAATGAAAAAATAGAAATACCGTTTCATTAATTCAATTTAACTGAAATGCGTGGTGTAAAAATACTGTTGTCGTTGTAAGGTTCGTTCGTAGATAATATTTATTTATTTGTTTTTCGGTTTATTCGGAGGCATATCCCGATTCGTTTTCGGGCAGAGGGGATACGAATCACACGCAAAAGTTCGGACGGGTTTTCGGGACGGCGGTTAATTATTACGCAGTATAACAATAAACCTCGTTATAATAATATCGCAACACGAATTGTGCAACTATACGTAAAAAAAAAAAAAAAAAAAAAAAATGAAAAATCTCAAATATAGAGGTCGTAATAATCTCTCACTCCAACCCTTCGGTTGCGCCGCTGCTCACTATGTAATACGACCGACGGTAAAACTATTCTGTATTTTCGCACGGTTAAATGGTGAGAGTTACGTGTTTTAACGTCCCAATCGTGTCTAAATTTAAAATCCAAATGATTTGTACTTACAATAGGTTTTGTCGAAAATTACGCGTTTCCCCCCCCCGTTCGAATACGGAATTTACTAAACGATACGGTATAATCCCGTGACGTAAATACGTATGAAAATTTACTTTATAACCGTAACATAATAATATTTTCAATTCGGTTTCGTTGTTATAATTCCCGTTTGCGCGGTTAATTTTACATTAATTTCGCGGTTATTTTAATCGAATAATATTATAATAAACTATATCGTTGCGGGGCTAATATGATCGGGTAGTGCACTGATTTCACCCACGTCTGGTGCGCCCACACTCATGGTGTATACTAACGAATACGCCCCCGGGTCGGACGATTTTCTTTGTACCTAATTGCTCGGGGAACAATTGTCGAATCCTGAATGTAAAACCGTATTCGAGATGTTTCTTTTTGCGATTTTCAGCTCTATATAAGTACACACACATTTCTACATTAACGCAAATCGATTGTAATAAAATCGTTTCACCGTGTCAATCGCGCGCGCGCGTATGTGTGTGTGTGTGTGTGCAATGTGCATAGACCGTAACGATCAAAGTATCGCGCCCGGCGTGAACCGTCCAACAAACGCGCCCGTACGGACTCCGATTCGTGACGTGAAAGTCCAAAGGCCGAAAAACGTTTACGAAACCATACCGATGTAAATGGGCGTTGTAATGATTATCTCGCGCATGACATCTCACTTGGTCGGACGTCGTGAATTCCAAACCGTTTCGCTTATTGGATTCGCTTCACGCAATGGTTACGCGGGTTTTATTCGGGAGTTTTCGCGCCCTTACGGAAATTATCGCGCCCGTCTCTCCCGGCGTCTCGCCGCCACCCCGCCGCCCGTTGGGCGACCGTCCCGGGCCGCTGCGTGTTACGTACGGCCGTTCTCGTTGTGGTCGGGTACTACGCGAGATGACGGATTGTTCGATACGCCGTTTGGGCGATTCGTCCGCATAGAACATCCGAAACGACGATGAAAACCAAAAGCCGCGTTTCCGAGCGGTTGTACGGTCCCGTCAAATCGCATTGTTAGTGCGTTCGCCAACGCCGTTTCCGTCTGTTCGCTCCGCGCTCGGTCTCCGGATGCGATTTCGAACGCGATTCGAATGTACAAAGTGATATTCGATTTTTCTATTTTTTTTTTTTTTTCCTTTTAGTGAACCCGAAACGGAGACTTTTGGGTGGTTTCGATTTTATTCGTTATCGTATCAGAACAAAAATTATATTCCTACCAATGTATAGAATATTTTATGTAATGAACCTACGTGTTATAGACGCACAAGTG